ATGGAATTGTATTCAACCATAAGAATAGAGTAAATTCTGCCATATGCAACAACATGGATGGACCTTGAGATAATCATGCTAAGCGAAATAAGCCAGACAGAAAAAGTTGAAAATGACATGATATCACTTATATATGGGATATAAACCTAAAAACAACAAATGGACAGGACAAACAAACAGAGACTCATGGACATGGACAATAGACTAGTGGTTACCAGAGGGTAGGGGGTAGGGGGAGGTGGGGAGAGGTCGACGGGGTAAAGGGGGTCAAATAAAGCGGGGTAGGGAGAGGGTGAAGTGGGTAAAGGGGATCAAATATATGGTAGCTGAAGGAAACTGGACTTTGGGTGGTACTCACACAATAGAATATATAGATGTCAAATTACAATGTACACCTGAAAATTATATAATTGCATTAACCAATGTTACTCCAATAAACTTAATTTTAAAAAAAACTAAAAATATCCTTAACAGGTATAAAACCACAAATTTCTTAAAATATAGAGAATAAGTTAAAAAAACAAAACGGCAGTCATTTCTCTCTATCCAATGTTTGGTCAAACTGAGAGAGGAAGAAACATTACACAAATTCTCAGTGATTTTAGGTACCTGATATTCCCATTCCAGATTTCCTCCCTTCTTACTAAAGGCCATAACCTTCCAATCAGCAACTGAGACTTTTATCACTGTGTCCATCATGGCAGCTTCCTGTTCTTCCACATCTGAAATAATTTTAGAATCTTCTTTGTTCCCACTCGGTTTTAAGGTGCTTTCAATAAATCCAGCTCTAGTTTCCATGTCTGGAATATACCGAAGTTCAAAGTGGCCAACACTGAAATTCCACCTTAAATTTGCAAAGGCATATTTTTAGAAATTTACACATAAATAAAGGGACCAAATAAAGAACTCTGCTAGAGTGAAAAAGCAAACATTAAAATTTTGTGATGAGAAAAAGAATAACTCAATACATTCTGGAAAGGAGCGCTCTGCTAATTTATGCCACAAGAGGGCAAAACTTTGTCCTGACCTTTTTGAAACAATGGTTGAGAGCTGACATCAACTATGGGACAGATCTTCTCTCAAAAATTAACAAATGTTCACATTTCCAAATCAGAGCGATTTTTTTCAAAACATATCAAAGCCACCTTAAAATGAGGTAGCATGAAGTCTGCCTTATTTCTTAATTAAAGTCTAGGCACATTTCATTCAAGCGCACAGAAATTAATATATCCTAATAAACCAATGTAAAAGGCAAGATGAAATATATCAAGTTTAGATTTATATGAAAAAAATGTCCCCAAAAGGCAATGTGACCCAGTATACCAAAACTGAAGGTCATACATCCTCACCTCCAATCTCTACTGACTGAGATCTGGCAAGTCACTTAACCTTTTCTGAGTTTCAGTGTCCTTATCCATAAAGTGGCAGTAATAATGTTCCCTCTATAATTAATATACGGAAAAATCACTTAACTACTGACAGTATAATATCTTGTCATATAAATAAAAAATTCCAACATCTGTTAAAATACATATACTTAAAGAACATAGATTTTAGCCCCAGACTACTCCTACTCTGGTAACTCAAAATTCTAATTTGAACATCTGCTCCTACGGTGGCTGAACACCCAGCAAGCACTCGAACACTTAAAAAAACAAAACACTATCAGGATAAAAGAGGTCAGGTTGCCAACAAATGCAAAGCCCTACTCACAGTCCAGTGAACACAGAAAAAATACATTCTTAACTAAGTTTGAGAAAACAGTTTTCAGGAAAGGAAACTGAATTATATACTGCATCAGATCAAACTAAATTTGAAAGTCTCATTCACTTTCAAAAGATAATGTTATTTTTATTACACAGACAATTTCAAATTTAAATATTAAGTTTAAAAAAATCACACATGTATATGAGTTAGGACCTGCATATATTATCTAATTATCTTTAATCACATAACTAAATGTAAAAATTATGTAAGGAATTCATTATTTAAAAAAGGGAAAAAAATTAATTTGATCAAAAAAATTATACTTTAGTAGGAAACAGACTAAAATATAATTTTAAAATTGGGATAATCAGTAAAACTATGAAACTACATGCCAGAGAGAACTAAAGAGTTAAACAGGTCCAAGCTGAAATAAAGCACATTAACCTTGTCTTAAGAGCTTTTTGCAGTGAGGCTGCTATGAAAAATATCATTAACCTAAGACCAAACTAATATCTAGTCATGGTATGGGCTCCTTCTAGTTACCATATCCTGAAACATATGGTGAGAAGTCCACTTCAGAAGTTGTTAATAATCATGAGGCTATATTAAATTTACGGCCTACATTTCTCTTACAAGAGTAGTATGCTTTCAGGGCACCAAAATAGAAAAATCTGATGAGTTTTGGTCTTGGTGTACTTTTAAATAACATCAACATCAACATTATCTGAATACACACTTCTCATTGCCACTGCGAGGTCCGACAGCTCTAACAGTTTTCTGGGTACGTTGCAGAAGCAGGATATCTTCTTGTTCCATTTCATCATTATCCCATTGGCGACAACCCAAAGCTGAACAGATGTACCTCACCTGAAAAATAAAATTAGTGGGGGAAAAAAAAAGGCAAGTTATAGCAGACCAGAAAATTCTATAATTTAAAAAAAAAAAAGGAAAAAAAATGAGGAACTGTGTAAGAAGTATCCAAGTATTAAGAAGCACCAGTTAGATTACCTACTCCTAAAATGAATTATTTATAACCATAAAAGTAACAATGAATATTTATTTCAAGAAATAATTTAAGGATTTAGATAATTTTAGTCTTACTTCGAGCATTTCCATGGAACATATGAGAAGAAATGGATAACCAGTTTTGGTATCTTAGCAACAATATCATTAATAAAATTACAGATGAATTTTAAAAAATCAACCTCAGGGTTTCCATATAAGTGAATTATTTAGTTTTAAAAAAGTTGAACTTTTTCTAATAGCTACAGTATTTAAAAGTACTTCCTTCATATCTTCATTAAAAGAAAAAGGAAGACTCTTAGTATGATCCAAACTAAAATCCTCACAGAAAGCATACCTACTCTAATACCAGAATTTTGCAGAAGCACATAAGAAAACCAGATAATCTGGTTCACCTGCAGTATTTTACAGATAAGAATACTCAAGTAAGCAGAGAACTGCAAGGCCTCCTCAACACAGTGCAGAATCAGGTGGGAGAAAAGCAGAAAAGCATCTGCAACAACAAGAAGGTGCGCTATAGGCCTAACACTTAGATAAGGAATCATTAAAGTTTTGAAAACCTCAAGGGTGAATAGATAACTTTTCTATTCTTCTTTGTTTGAGTCTTAAATCTATATATAAACTATTCACATTTGAAGGTGTTAAAGGGTTAAAAAAGATTTTTACCTTTCTAAAAAAGATATTTTTAATTAGTTATTTCTAATAATGGATTTATATTACAAGACCCAATCTTAGAAGTAGATTACGATTACATCATAAGAGCTAATAATAAAGAAAGTCTAGGTCATAACAGCATGACTCTATTGTCAGACAGAGCTAAGTTAAATCTGACCTTGGAAGTTTCTGAATCTTTTAAAGTCTGTTTTCTCATCTTAAAACGAGTATAAACTTTCTTCTTGCATCCTCTTATTATAGGATCAAACTATATAAATAAGTTAGTAGCAATTATTCTT